TCCCAGCCGGCGCCCGCCCGAGAGCCCAGAACCAGCTCCGCGCGCGGACGCCGGGGCTCCCCAGCCAGAGGGCGCCTCCACCCAGGTGAGTGCCGCCCGCCCCGGTCTCCCCCTCCTGCGCGGGCGACGCCTGCCCTCGGCAGCACGGGGTCCCGCGCTGCTCCGTTATCCCCGCTGGGGCGCTCACCCTGTGTGCGCAGCCCCGGCCCGGGGTCCCGCCCTGCGCCCCCCGCCTGCTACGCTCGCTGTCCCCCGCGCGCCCTCTGCACACCCGCGGGGCTCTCCTGCCGCCGCCGGGGGTCCCTCCCCTCTCGTTTCCTCCGCTCCCAGACCCTCCATCCCTCCCGTCTCCTGGCTGCGCCCAGCCGGGGCGTTGAGCTCCTGGAAGGCAGCAGGCAGAGGCCAGCACTGCGGTCCTGTGAGCTGGCACCCCCAGACGGGTTCCCTGAGACCCAGCACTGGGAGGCTGGGGTGTTACCCCTGCCGGCGGGAACAGAGCCGCCTCCTGTCCGAGGCCCCGCGTGTGTCCGGACCCCTCCAGGGGTCTCCGCCCTCCCCTGAATAGAGAACACGCCCCTGGGGTGTGTGCCCTGGGCGCTCCTCCCCGACCCCAGGCCTGCCCACCTGCCCGCCCGCTCTCCCCGCCCTGCCAGCCTGCCTGGGGCCCCCTCGAGGTGAGAGCGGAGCGCGTGCTGACAGAAGTTTGGGAAGGTTCCAGCCAGGCTGAGCCCTTTCTGAAGGCAGCGATTCCAGGGATGTGGGTGGGGACTGCCAGAGAGCCTCGGGGGTGGAAACGGGTCAATAGCACCAAGGACAGGGGCCCAGCGTGGATTTCTAGGGCGAGACCCGGCAGGGCTTCCAGGAGTGGAGGGTGGCCTAGGAAGCGTTTGCAGAGCGCAGGGGAGGGGTAGTGCCAGCCTGACCCCTTGCTGCTGCTACTGCTCCAGGCTGGCCCACACCTGCCTCAGTTTTCCCATCCTGGGGAGGGTGTGTGCCCTGACCACAGGCTGCCTGCCACAGGGACAGATGGCGTGTGTAGGGGACGGGTATATGCAGCCCCTCCAAGCTGCAGCTGCATTGCTGCCCCCGTGAAGGACCCGGCTCCCCGACCTCGTGCTGGGCTAACCTGGAAGGGGTTGGCAGGGCACAGGTCTAGCCATGTGGTTCAGGCTGCTTGGGAGGCTGAGGCAGGAGGATCGCCTGAGCACAGGAGGTCGAGGCTGCAGTGAGCTATGATCGCACTGCCGCATTCCAGCCTGGGCAGCAGAGCGAGACGCCATCTCAAAAACAAAAAATCAGGCATTCGGGAATCGTGGGTGCTGTGCTTCTCTGGGGAGCCTGGTGGCTTCCTGGAGGGTGGGGAGAGGCTGGGCTGCTGAGGGCAGCTGTGGGGGCGATCACTGAGCGCCCTGTGTATGCCGACACAGTGCCCAGCACCTTGCACACAGGAGCTCGCTCGGTTTCATCTGCTCTGGTTTGCAGGAGTGGCCTCTGCCAGCAGCTGGGCGCAGAGAAGCCCGGGACTTACCCAGGACCTGGAGGCTGGTGTGGGGCGGTGGGGCAGGGCCGGGATCTGCTCCCAGTGCCGTCAGGCTACATGCTGGCTGCGCAGATCCCTTCCCGGTTGAGGGCTGGAGATCAGAAGTCCCCAGCGCTGGCCCCCTCCTGCTGTCCTTGTCCCCCCACCCACAAGGGACAGGGCCATGGGGACAATTTCCCTGTGAGTGTGTAATTTTATGACTCAGAAGATGACTGCTTCCGAATAATGGCTCTTACAGAATTATGTTCCAAGAGTTAGGTACAGCAGTAATGGCCTATTTTTGTTCTTGGCTGCTCTCAAGTCTACCTCTGGAGTTGGAGCCTGGGGGCTGCAGAGCCGGGACCTGGGGGCCCGAGTAGCTCCTCTGAAGCTACAAACACGGGAATTTGGTTTTAGCTGCTTGGGAGGCTGGGGCAGGAGGCTCACCTGAGCACAGGAGGTTGAGGCTGCAGGGAGCTGGGATCGCATCACAGCACTCCAGCCTGGGCAACAGAGCGAGACCCCATCTCAAAAGCAAAAACTCAAGTATTCAGGAGCCAGAGGTGCTGGGGACCCAGGGCCTGTTCTGGAGATGGACCGGAGCCCCACAGCCGCCCTCTCCCTGCCCCACTGTCGGTGGCTCCTCTACCTGGCCTCCTTGGTACGGAGGAGTGGGCCAAAGCGCCTCCCCAGGGAGGGCCGAGGCTCAGAGGCCTCAGCAGCTGGGATGCTGTCCCGTCCACCCGGACTCCAACAGCCCACGGCTGTCTGTAGACCACTGTCCTTCCGGAATGCACGCCCCACAGGCAGCCGGAGGGAGCCGTAAACGTGATGCGTTGAATTTCGGTGCCAGTCCCCAGGGAGTGGAAAATCGCTGGTCCACCGCTGCTGTGGGAGCTTGCTTCCCGGAAGGCCCCTGTCTGAGTCCTCCCGGGAGAGGCCTTGTCCCTGCCAGGAGCAGACGCGGCTGGAGGCTCCAGCCCGACCCCAGCCCAGGAGCTCCTCGGGCAGCAGCTCCAGCAAAACAGAAAATGTCTTTTCCCTCGTGGCTGGGCGGCGCTCTACTGGGTGGGGGTTCTAGGGTGACAGCGCCCTCTCTCTCTGTCTGCCCCCACCCTTTTTCTCTCCCTCCCCACACCCTGCTTTGGAGGCCACTGCCGCAACTGTCTAAGTCCTGCCCGTGTGTTTCTGTCCTGTCTCTGGCTGGCTTCCTTGAGGGTTTCTCTTTGCCCGGATACCGCAGTTGACGGGGATGCCCTTTCATTCCTTTGCGCCGCACAGGACGGGTGGCTCCCAGACGGGACCCTGTCACCAGTTCTAGGGGAGCCCAGCCACGCTCTCCCCTGGGACCCCACACAGCCCTTTCCTGACCTTCTGCTGGCACCGTTCCTGCCGATCCATCAACCCTCTTCCAGTCCCCGATTCTCTCTTCAGCGCTGTGCAGACGGGAGCTGCTTCTGACCACTTTTGTAGTTCTTTTTCCCCCATAAATGATTGTATTTTTTTACATCCAAGATGTGTGATTTTTAAAAATAGGTGCCTGTTCATTTTACTTCTTAGACAGAAGCCAAATTTATTTCCCAGCATTTTTCCGTGCCTTCTCCGTGGATCCCACACGTGTGTAAACATAGGCTAAGCGTACCTATTAGCTGGTTATTTTTATTTCCCCCGAGATGAATCCACGGGTGCACCGGCCCTGTTCGTTTTCCGAGTTGTATTTCTCAGCACGTTTGGGCCACGTGCGCCTGGGGATGCTGGTTTCTGGGTTTGCTGGGGACACAGGGCTTTCTCTTTGTGGCTGTCAGCCTTGTGTTCTCGCCCCCCAACACCCAGCTCTCCTTTCCTTGTCTACCAGATGTCAGTGGCCTCGGCCCAACCCCGCAGCCCCCTGCCAGGACTGTGGCCTTCCCTGGCAGCTGCTGGGGGTGTCCTGTGCTCTGAGGTGCCTCAGGGGTCACAGCCGGTCAGCTGAGCAGGCCCAGGGCTCCGGACAGCGCATGCTGGGGTCACTACGGCCGGCTCCACTCCCACTCAGGCCAGGGTCCCCCCAGGGAGGGACCTGTCCCTGGTCTGGATCCTGAGGGGCGCTTTGATTCTCTGCTGGCCACCCCCAGAGTCACAGAGTCCCAGGGTCAACCCAAACGTCCGACCTTCCTCCACCCCACTTGTCAGGGGAGGCACTGATCTTTTTATTTATTCATTTATTTTTGAGACAGAGTCTCACTCTGTTGCCCAGGCTGGACTGGACTGGCCTGATATCAGCTCACTGCAACCTCCGCCTCCTGACCTCAGGCGATCCTCCTGCCTCAGCCTCCCAGAGTGCTGGGATTGCAGGTGTGAGCCGCCGCTCCCGGCCTGATGTTCTTTCTGAGAGAGGATCTCACTCTGTGACCCAGCCCGGAGTGCAGTGGTGCAATCATAGCTCTCTGCAGCCTCCACCTCCTGGGCTCAAATGATCCTCCTTACTCAGCCTCCAGAGTAGCTGGGACTACAGGCGCCCGCCACCACACCTGGCTAGTTTTTGTATTTTTTGTAGAGATGGGGTCTCACCATGTTGCCCAGGCTGGTCTCCAACTCCTGACCTCAGGTGATCTCCCATCTCAGCCTCCCACAGCACTGGGATGACAGGCGTGAGAATCGTTTTTATGACTGATTTCAAACACACAGAAACACACAAAAACAATATACAAGCCTGGAACCCACAGCTGTTACTATTCCCAGCCCACCCTCCCCCATGTCCCCCCTTTTCTCTCTCTGGGCCACCGTCGGGGGTTCCAGGTCCTAGGAGGGGGCTCCAAGCTCCTACGGGACAGGCAGTGTCAGGCAGCTGGGGCCCCCACACCTGTGCCTGTGACCCGCCCGTGCCCCACGCTGCAGCTTCTCCCTCGGGCCGCCCCACGGTTCCCCCTCCTTCGCCCTGTGCGACTCCTGGGGCTCCACGTGGCTGCTCTGAGTGGTTTGTCTGTTTGCTTCTCTGCAGCTGCCCCGTGGGGAGGCGCGGTGTCTGCCCAGCCCCTGTGCTGTGTTCCCGCCTGGGTTTGCAGATGTCTGTCATTGCCATGGGGGGGACAGGTCCCCACGATGGCCCGGCGAGAGGTGCAGGGGGCCAAGGGGCAGGTGCAGCCCGGCAAGAGTCCCTCGAGGCTGCAGCAGTGACACCCCGTCCAGCCGCTTCTCCACTCCTGCGTCCCGGGCAGGGCGGGCGCCAACCACCGGCCTCATCTCTCTCTGCTGCCGCCCCTCGCCATGCACCCTGGGAGGTGCCGCCCACCGGGCTTCTGCTCCTTACCTGGGAGACACGGACAGCAGGCTCTGAGGGGCTCTAGGGAGATGCAGGTGCTGGCCTCACGGTGCCGCAGCCAGGCCAGGCGCTACCGGTGCCGGGTCACGGTATTGACAGCGGCCGGCCGTCCTGGGCTCCCGGGGCCACCTGCCCGCCGCTCCTTCCTGTCCTGGCTTGTTTTCCAAACAATTTGCTTAATGTGATTCCTGGCCGAGCTGAACATGACTAATCGTGTTTACCCGGTGATCCCAGCCTCCCGGCGGGTGGGGCCAGACTGGGCCGGGCGGGGAGGGAGGAATACCTGGACGTGCCCGCTCACGGCCTCACCGCCCGGCGTCCTCCCCTCTTCTCTCGCAGAGCCGACGCGCCCTCCGGCTGCCGCCATGGAGCCCCTCTTCCCGGCCTCCGTTTCTGGCTGGAACGCCTCCTCCTCGGGTAACAGGTCCATGGTGGGGCTGTCGCCGTCGCCGGGGGCCCGGGCGGTGCTGGTGCTCGTGCTATACCTGCTGGTGTGCGCGGCAGGGCTGGGCGGAAACGCGCTGGTCATCTACGTGGTGCTGCGCTGTGCCAGGATGAAGACGGTCACCAACATCTACATCCTCAACCTAGCGGTGGCCGACGTCCTTCTCATGCTGGGGCTGCCCTTCCTGGCCACGCAGAACGCCGCGTCCTTCTGGCCCTTTGGCCGCGTCCTGTGCCGCCTGGTCATGACGCTGGACGGCATCAACCAGTTCACCAGCGTCTTCTGCCTGACGGTCATGAGCGTGGACCGCTACCTGGCCGTGGTGCGCCCGCTGACCTCCGCCCGCTGGCGCCGCCCGCGCGTGGCCAGGATGGCAAGCGCCGCGGCCTGGGCCCTGTCGCTGTGCATGTCGCTGCCTGTGCTGGTGTTCGCGGACGTGCAGGACGGCGGCACCTGTAACGTGAGCTGGCCGGAGCCGGTGGCGCTGTGGAGCGCCGTCTTCGTGGTCTACGCGGCCGTGCTGGGCTTCTTCGGGCCGCTACTGGTCATCTGCCTGTGCTACCTGCTCATCGTGGTGAAGGTGAGGACCGCGGGCGTGCGCGTGGGCTGCGCGCGGCGGCGCTCGGAGCGCAAGGTGACACGCATGGTGGTGGTGCTGGTGCTGGTGTTCGCGGGCTGCTGGCTGCCATTCTTCACCGTCAACATCGTCAACCTGGCGGTGGCGCTGCCCCAGGAGCCCGCCTCCACCGGCCTCTACTTCTTCGTGGTCATCCTCTCCTACGCCAACAGCTGCGCCAACCCGGTCCTCTACGGCTTCCTCTCCGACAACTTCCGCCAGAGCTTCCGGAAGGTTCTGTGCCTCTGCAAGGGCTCTGGCGCCAAGGACACTGACGCCACGGAGCTGCGGCCAGACAGGAGCCGGCAGCAACAGGAGGCCACACCGCCCGCGCACGGCGCAGAGGCCAACGGGCTCATGCAGACCAGCCAGCTGTGAGGGGCATGGAGGGCGGGCGGGGGCGGGCGGCCGTGTCACCCCCAGGGGCAGGGGTTGCACTGCAGTGACCCCACCCCTCACCTGCCTGCCAGTCATGATGCTTCCCTGCGGCGGTGGGGTGAGGATGGAGCTGCCTGAGGCCAGGCTATGGTGGACACAGGGCAGAAGGCCCCCCACAGGGACAGACCACCCTCTCCCGCCTGTCTGCCACGCGGGGGCTCCTGGGAGGTGGGGGAGGTGGCCAGGCTGGTGAGGGGCTCTTGTAAGTCCTCAGGGCCCCCTCACCATCCATCCTGCCCCAGCCCATGCCAGCCTCCCCACGGGGGAGAGACGTTTCCAGAAGACCAGCCAGACAAGAAGGTCTTCCTGACGGCAGGGGCCTGCCCTGCCCGGCCCCCCAGCTGCCGGTGCCCTAGGGTCAGCTTGAGCCACCTGCTGCTCTGATAAATTAAAGACAACTGAAAGGGCTTGACTCAGGTCCCCTGGAGTCCCTGCCCAGGGCCCCAGCACCACGCCTTCCCCGCACTGTGTGGAATCAGGACACAGGTGTGAGGGAGTGTGGCTGGGCGGCCCTCGGTCAGCCAGGGTGTGGCCCTGGGGCCCCACCTGCTGCCCGGCACCCCCCTGGGGACCCTGTCCCAGAGAAGGAAGCAGGGGGCTCCCCGTGGGAGAGGCATGGAGGCAGCTGGCGCAGAGGAGAGCCAGGGGCTGAGGTTGGGGTGGAGGCTCTGGCCCTCCAGGCTTCTGGGGTGCAGGTGTCTGCGCTGCGCTGAATTGGCTCTGTCTGGAGGGCCTGGTACGGGTGTGCCTGGGGGCACTGGAGGGAGGGCTCCTCATGGAGGAGGACCTGAGGGTCAGGGACTGGAAAGGATGGGGAACCTGCAGCTGTCTCTTCTGCTTTGGGGCAGGGGCTCCGGGCCCGGGAGAGGGAACGGGGACAGGAGCAGAGGACAGTCATCCAGGCGGCAGTGGGCGGACAGCGCTGCTGGGAGGCAGTGGTCGCGTGGGTGGTGGAATGCCAGGTCCTGGGAATCCTGCTGAACCCCACCTAGAATTGTCCCACCTCCCCCACCCCAAACGCCAGCTTCTCCTGGTGCCCCAGACCCAGAGCCTCACTCTGAGGCTGGAAGGAGAAGGCCCAGAGACCCCTCTGCCCTGCCCGGCACCGGCCCTGACCTGTGCTCTGGTCACTCAGAGCAGGTCCCGATCCTCCTGGGAGGGTGCAGGGAGTGGGCTGAGCGTGGGCAGAGCCCGGCAGGGAAAGGCCTCGGCCGAGGTCAGGCCTGGGAAGCGTCCGAGCGATGAGGACACGTGTGTTTGACAGTTGCTCCCCTGTATAAACTCAAGGATAAATGTTTGATTCTTTCCCCGAGCAAATATTGTCCCTGGAGCTGAGTGCAGCCAGCACAGACCAGAGTGGAGCCCAGGCTCCCCTGAGGCCCAACACAGGGCGAGACCCCCCGCCCCAGCCCCGCTGAGCCAGACAGGGCCGGGACGGGGGCGGCTGAATGCCCAGCAGGAAGCGGGGAGACGTGGAATTCATGAACGGGGTGAAGAATGGCAGACGCTGCTTGGGGTCTGAGGCTGGAGCTGCCTCTCACAGCCGCCCTGAGCGGGCTGCCTGGGCTTCTCAATAGCTATAGGGGGAGTGTGGGGGCCTCTCCAGCAGGTCCACAAGGCTCTGCCTCTGAGCGACCAAGGAGGGGTGGATCCAGGGTGCCCTGGGGGAAACTGAGGCCCTTTCACACCACAGTGCCCCCCCCACCTGCCTCCCCGGGGATTTGGGTGCCAAGTTCATCCGCTTGGAAGGCTCTGGGGACCTAGCAGATGGCTCGGAAATCCCTGCTGAGATCAATTTCTCCAATTGATTGGACTCCGTGCACTCTCCCCAAGGGGCTGGCAGCCATGTGGGGCGAACAGAGGCGCCAGCGCCCTCGTTCTCCGGTGAAGATGCCCTCGAGCGCCACCCCATTTGGCCCAGCTGCAAGCCTCGGGTACCCTGCTCCCCGCCTCGTCCAGCCTGAAGCCCCTGGGACCCCGGTTCCTGCCAGTCCCAGGCCCCAGCTTCACGAACCCGCTGGCCTCCCCAGTCTGGTCCTGGCCACGTGCAAACCCCATCTGTGCCTTCGGTCAAAGCCTTGCCCCCGCCAGGCGCACACCCTCCCCACAAACCAAACCTGCCGTGCACGGCCTCCTCCTCCCGGACATGCAGGACCCTCCCACGCTGACTCTCTGGGGGCAGTGGGCTGGCCATGGCGGCCCCACAGCTGGGCCTGGGACTTCCTGCCCGTGGGCCCTTGTGCTGGCTGAACACGTGTCCCCGTTGGACAAACGCACCTGCCATACTCCAGCGTAGGGCTGGGTCGTGGGATCAAGGTTTAGCTGGAGGAGCACCCCGGGCCAAAGGAACAGCCTCTGTGAGGGCTCAGAGGCAACAGGGCACAGGGGGTGAGCTGTGGGGGTCAAGCCAGAGAGAGGAGCAAATGCAGGTCCCCCACGTTCTGACCCATGCTGCCCCAAGGAAAAAGAAGCCGCACTCACTGCAGCTTGAGAGCGGAGACTGGACCAGAGGTAGGAGGAGGCAGACGCAGTGGGTGCTCGGAGGCTGTGAGGCGTCCAGGGGAGCACGCAGCGGCCTGGCCCGGGGCGGGGGCCCTAGGGGTGCTCACGAGGCAGAGGCAGCCCCTGGCTAGGCCTGGGGAAGGGGCAGTGACAGCCAGCTGGCTCCCGCTTGGGGCGCATCGGAGAACAAGACCCCGGGGTCCGATGGACTCGGTGGGCTGAGGAGGCTGAGGACGTTCCGGGACCAGGCTGGGCAGGTGTGGACAGCACAGAGCCACGGGGAAGGGGCCACGGGGAAGGGGCCACGGGGAAGGGGCCGAGGCCCAGATACCCCTGGGGCAGCAGCATGAAAGGCCTGCAGGGGTCAGGGGTGTGTATGGGAGGAGCTCGGGCCCTGGGCCCCTGAATCCTCACCCCTCCGGGTAGTGAGGGCCTGTGGGTGGCCGGAACTTCTTCAGGGGCCGCAGAGCCGAGACCCCTTGCAGGCCACCTGAGAGTGTGGCGGGGGCGTGGCGGGAGCAAACATCCTGGGCAGGCTGCTCCCAGGGCTCCCGCACGCGTCAGTGGGTTTTATTGGCTCTGGGCTCTAGCAACTCAAGTGACTTTGCTCAGGACACAGTCCCAGCCCCGCCCCATCAGCAGGGGTGCCCAGGCGGGATGTGGGGGTCTGCGGAGGGACCCGGAAGGCCTCCTGGGGAGAGAAGGGTGCAGAGGTGACCGGCACCCACCAGCCCAGGGCCCTCAGAACGCCGTTTCCTCCCATCAGATGAGACCCCAAAGCTTGGGTGGGCTGGGGGTGTGGGGCCAGCTGTGGGGTCTCGGGGAGCCAGGCTGGGGGAAGGCTGCCCCGAGGACAGGCCCCTCTGCCCATCCAAGGCCGGGTCTAGGCAGCACGGGCAACCACCATGGGGGCAGCAGAGGCTGGTGCTGGCCGCACTGCCCCTTGGAGGCCTGGAGCCCACCTCGGGCTCTGCACTTCCATGGGTGGCAGGAGCTGCCCTGGGCCCCCGGCGGGCTGTTAGGTGGAGTCCACCTGCTGGGTTCTTTGTCCTCTATCCCCATCCCGGCCCGGCCACAGCAGCCCCCACCTCTGGCTACGTCTCCCTCCCCGACTCCCACCCTACCTCCACTTCCAGCCCCGTTTTATCCCAAACACAAATCTACTCGTGTGTCTGCTGCTCACGGGCCCTCTGCGGTTCCCCACTCCCCACCCACGTTGCCTCGGTCGGCGGGAATCCCCAGCCCTGCACCCCCCCTTCTGCTTTCTGTCTTTACAAATCTGAGTCCTCCAGGTTGCTCTCGAAAGTGGATTCAGGCCGGATTGGTCCTTGTGTGACCGGTTCATTCCGCCCGGCGCACTGCCCTCGCGGAGTTTCCTTCCTGTCTGAGGTTGAGCACTGTCCCCTTGTGTGGAGGGACCACATTTGGTTTTTCCATGCGTCATCAGTGGACCCCAGGCTGTGTCCACCATCTGAGTGCACTCCTGCTGCCCCTGGGAGCCGTCACAGTGACTATCCGCCTCAGCACAGGAATTCCGGGGGCGCGTTCCGACCACAGCACCTTCCTTCTTGCTGCAGTGAGCGTGGGTGCACATCCCACGTGGTTTTTGTTGGTGGTGGCGGTGGTTTTGTGTGTTGTGTGTGTGGCAGGGTGTCACTGTGTTGCCCAGGCTGGAGTGCAGTGGCACAATCCCGGCTCACTGCAGTCTCTGCCTCCTGGGTTCGAGCAGTGCAAGCGATTCTCCTGCCTCAGCCCCCTGAGTAGCTGGGATCACAGGCGCCCGCCACCACACCCGGCTAATTTTGTATTTTCAGTAGAGAAGGGGTTTGACCATGTTGGCCAGGCTGGTCTTGAACTCCTGACCTCAGGTGATCTGCCCACCTTGGCCTCTCAATGTGCTGGGGTTACAGGCCTGAGCCACCGCGCCTGGCTGGTCCCACATGTTTCTTTTTTTTTTTTTTTTTTTTGAGACGGAGT